TATCACATCTTACTCTGCTGTCTACAGTGAGAATGTGGGAAATGACATCCACACAGAAGGAAGAAGTGTCCCTGGATGCAGCTGACAGCTTTTAGAGAAAAGCCCTGCTCCCAAGCCAAAGCCTCTTCCTTCCTGCCCAGGACCAGATCTGCCCCTTCATTTGTTCTCTGTGGTTGGTATGATCTGAGTGGCCCTTGCAGCCCAGCTCTCCCATCTCCCCCAAAGAGGTTTGTGTCTGGGATTACAATGACTTCCCCTCACTGTGTCTCTAGCACAGTAATACATGGCTGTGTCCTCAACTCTCAGGCTTCTCAGCTCCATGTAGGCTGTGTTTGTGGACTTGTCTGCAGTTATGGTGACTCTGCCCTGGAACTTCTGTGCATAGTTTGTGTCACTATCTCCAGGGTAAATTCTTCTGAACAGCTCAAGGCCTTTTCCTGGGGACTTTCACACCCAGGGCATCCAGTAGCTGGTGAAGGTGCATCCAGAAGCCTTGCAGGAAACCTTCACTGAGGTCGCAGGCTTCCTCACCTCAAGCCCAGAATGCATGAACTGCACCTCAGAGTATACACCTGTGGAGAAGAGACACGTGTGTATGGAAATTCCCTTTGACTTTCCCCAGTTCCCTCCTCAACCCATGGACTTGGGAGCCCCTTACCTACAGCCAGTGCCACCAGGTAGAGGGCTCTCCAGCTCAAGTCCATGGTGAGTGGCTGTGTCATCAGGACTTCTACAGAGGATGGTGTGGTTCTGGGTGATGCTCTCAGGCCCCAGATAGTTGCACATTTAACCCAGTCTACCTGTTCTCATCTGCATGTGCATGAGACAGGGTGTCTCACAGATGAAGACTTGACCACACCTGAGAGAAGGTAGAGGAAACAGGGATCATGCTCACAGGAAATTAGAGAGTATAAGTCCTAATCCATGCTGTAGGATATATGGCCCTGCCGTGTCCCTGAGCTCTGTGCACACATAGCTCTGCCCACTGAGCAAAAGTTCCCGACAAGACAAGATCCTCATAGAGAACCCAGCTTTAAGTGACACAGAGACTACCTGGGTTTTTTCTGGGCTTTAATGACTGAATGTCTTATTCTTGGATCATTGAGTCTCTAAATTTTTCCACGTAGTGATTTAACAAGTCCATCACTGTTCCTAGCTCCTTAAAATTCACATATCAAAACGCCTTAGACATAATGCCATTGAATGTGGTTCTCTTGTCTTTTCAAGTTTGTAAATGCTCTGATTGAATGGGATATTAAAGTTGCCTCTTGTCCAAGTCATATTTTAGATGATTTATGGACAGGAAAGCCTGTGTCCTCAGATGAAATTCCTCCTCAGATACCTCTGCCCCTGCTCCTGTGAAAACAGACCTCAATTCATTGGTCCCATGTGACTTCAGCTGCCCAGCACCCACCCTGAACAAAAAGGTTCTTTCTGGGCTCACAGGACATGGATGTCTCAGTGTCTATAATGCAAAAAAAAAAATGGGGGGGAGAAAAAGAGAAAAGAAGAAAGATTTGAACTATGGATGAAGAAGGTGCTGTGACAAATCAAATGTGTCAAAAGTGGTTTGTTAAGTTTCATCATGGAGATTTCTCTCTGAATGTTGCTCCATGGTCAGGTGGACCATTTGGAATTGGTAGTGATCAAATTGACACATTAAGTGACGACAATGTCTGTTATACCACACAAGTGATAAACTCATTGGTAAAAATGGGGAAGAAAAGACTTTTTGGGTCACCCACAGATTTGAAAATTAACCCATCCTCTTTACTCAGCCATAACAAAATAAATAAATCTTTCTATTTGTTTCAATGTGGATGGATGTAGGGAGTATCATTCTGAGTTAAATCAGTGTGACAAATACACAGAAATACAGCATAATCTCACTTATATGTGGAATCTAAAGAACAAAATAAATAAACAAGCAGAACAGAAACAGGCACAGAGACCCTGAGAACAGAGTAAGGATTTCTAGAGGGGAGGGATTTTGGGAGCCTGGGTGAAAACACTAGAGGGACTAAGAAGTACAAATCTGCAGTTAGAGATTAAACACAGGGATGTCAAGTACTGCACAGTCAATAATATTGCAAACACCATGTGTGGTGCCAGGTGGTACTGGATCTATAAGGCCATCACATCATAAATCATGTAAATGACCATTTTTTTTCTGTAGGCTAGAAGTTCATATAAAATGATATGTAGAATTTCAACAGGAATTGAAGAGAAGAAAATGAAATTCACCCCAAATCCCTGTGAAGCTAAGGCAAGGGTGTGGGTCAGAGTGTGACAGGAAGGAGAAGTGGCTGAACCCGGGACTGTGCTCACAGGTGTCATCTTCATGGGGAACATTCAGAAAGTGTCTCGGTTTGTGAGAGGCCCCCACTGAGAACCACAGCTTAGTATTAGTCACTGGTGGATCATCCTCAATGAACAAACTGGGGGCTGCTAACAAGGACTTACTATAATAATTTGAGTTGATGAAGGCCTTTACTGTCCCTCCCAGATATTCTAACGCTGAGCATGATAAACGTTCCATGTTCCCTTGTGGTTTGTGTGTGTGTGTTTGTTGTCAGCCTGGACATCCACAGCTGGCTGCCATGGGTGCCTCTGCTTCTGTGTGGTGTTACCTATGCCTGGTGTTGTGAACATGCCGAGTTAATGACCATCATCACTGGGTGTATTTGTCCATAGTAACTGGGTTCATGCATCCCTTGTACACACTCTCCAGCATGCACATGTTCTGCTGCTGACCAGCTTGGACACAGTTGTGTGTACTGGGCTAACTGTTGTGCCCAGCAGAGCCTCTGGTTAGATTCATCCAATGTGGGTCAGAAGGTTTGATGATTCATTAGAATGGGGCATGAGTGTCTGAAACAGACTCTGCATTTGGTCCACATGAACACATTTTCTTCCTTTACACCTGACTTTTTTCATGCAGAGATTTCAGAGGTGAGTGCTTAATGAGTAATCCAGAGGGTTTCCCTAAAGGGAACAGTTACAGGAAGAGGAAACCAGACCGGGAACCAGCAGAAACATCCAAGTGCACCTGCTCCTTCAATATTCCTTGTGTTCAGAGACCCTGAGCACCCCTAGTGGTCACAGTCTTGGTTATGTCCACATGGCCACAGATGGTAACATTGAACAACTGGACCTCCACCCTTTCCAGTGACCCACACTGCTCCTGTAACCCTAATAAAAGGCAGTGTGAGGCATGGCTAGTGAGGATATAGGGCCCTTTTCCTGGAACTAGAGCATGAATGGGTGTCTGCATCTAGGGCTACCTGTCCTCCAGGGCTGTATACACTTGTCAAATCAGAGTCCTCCCCCGAGTGGAAAAGCTTGTTTGTCACCTGTGATGTGGTCAGCTAAAGTGAGTCAGGTTAACTTAGAACTGTCACAGACAACTGCTGATAAAGTCTGTGTTAGGCCCGGGACCACTATTGTGGAGGCACAGGGTCCCTGTTCTGTCCTATCTGTTATCAGGGAAACTTCATCTGTCCTATCTGTTATGAAGAGGCTAAACTCACTGGGGACCTTAGGTCTGCTTCCCTGAAATGCATCCCCAGAAACCAGAACATGACCATCTGACTCCAGGACAGAAGCCCACATGTGAGACACAGTAAAAACAAACAAACAAACAAACAAACAAACACAACTCTGTGTATATTCCTGGAGCATTCACATCCCCTAAGCAAGCAGAAGGGGATCACCAAAATGTAAGGGACACTTGGTGCTCCAGTCTCCCCAACCCCCGCCAGGCTCCAAAGGGACAAATTATCCCCTCACCCCTGTGCTGTCCAACCAGGATGGTGGGCCCAAATATCCAGTCCAGGCTCCATTCCTTTGCAATACTACAGGACTAGGGCTGGATGAACCTAGCAATTCAGCAGGTGTGTGTGGGTCCCTGCCCATGTGCACAGGGTGAGCAACAGGGATCTCTTTTCTGAAGCCACACAGTCGAGACTCCCAGTGGTTCTCTGCCCACAGTCCTTCTAGAGACTAAAGGGTCCCTGAAAGTCATTACTGGGTGAACCAATCAGTCCCTTCCTCCAGTCTGGGACTGTTGCAGGGACCCTACAGCAGCCAGAAATCCTGGTCTTGTAACAGTGTGTTCACTCCCTCCTTGGGATGCTGTGCTCAGAGTCTCCCAAGTGGACCTAATCATCACAAATTCCCATCACCAGATGCTATGTGGGCTCCCATTCCATCTCTGTTGCTGTGGATTGGGGACCCCTGCATGGGCTGAGATCCCACAGTCCCAGGGTGAGGGAGCTCCAGGATGCAATATCCATTGGACTGTCCAGTCATTGCACCTTCAGGAGGGGTCTCACCCTCTCCTTCTCTCATTCCATCTCTTTCCCTGTTCTTGTTTATAAAGTTTCAGACCAGCTACCCCTCAACTGCTTTTTCAAGTTGATTGCCCTGACTTGAGTACGTGGATGGAACTTCAAGCTTTCTAGTCAACTAGTGCTTCTTTAACACGAAATCCAATCTTTTTAACAAGGGTAGACTTTCTATTTATCTGTGTTCTTCCACTTGGAAGGACAGGGGACCATGAAAAAATGACATCCAGTAGATTACATTTCTGTCATATATGACTGACCTCATTGCGTCAAATATCTATGAAACAGAATTTGCATCTCACCTGTCTGCACCACAATCAAGGATGTGGGTCTTGTTAGGCACAGGTGACAACCACAAGGCTCCCAGGCTGAATCCCACCCCCCACCTTGTTTAATTCTGGACCGGCACCTTGTTTCTACCTGGAGGCAGCACTGAGCTCCCTGGCCCTAGTTAAGGAATAGTTACATTCACAAAGTCCTAAAATTACATTTGGCACTTTGAAGGCAACTGTGACGTGGATGTGGTCTCTGTTGAAAATGAGTTTGAGACCCCTGTTCTAAGTATAGAAGAGAAAGGAAAGCAGGGCTGTGAGCCCATGGGAGGCAGAAGGAAACACCGTCTACCCATGCTTTCCTGTTCTACACATGTGGGGCTCAGCTGACACCCACCCAGGTTCTTGTACAGGAGGCCCCTGGGATGTGTCTCTGTGCCCTCCGTGCACAGTAATATGTGGCTGTGTCTTCAGGGCCCATGCTGGTCATTGTGAGAACCACCTGGTTTTTGGAGGTGTCCTTGGAGATGGTGAGCCTGCTCCTCAGAGATGGGTTGTAATACTTATCATCATCCCACCAAACATTTGTGAGCCACTCCAGTGCCTTCCCAGGGGGCTGACGGATCCAGCCAACACCCATACCACTAGTGCTCAGTGAGAACCCAGAGAAGGAACAGGTCAGTGTGAGGGTCTCAGAGGGTCTCACCACCCCAGGGCCAGACTCCTGCAGGGTGACCTGAGATAGAGCCCCTGTGGAGAGAGGACAAGAAGAGGTGAAGGCAGTTAAGGAGGAAAACAGGAGTCTTTTCTTCCCTGAGGATGTCCCTGACTGGATCACTCACAGGAAGGGAAGGTCAGCAGCAGGAGAGTAGACCACAGCATGTCCATGGTGGGCACAGGAGTCACTGCCACAGGCCCAGTTCCCTGCTTTTCAACCCAGCGAGGGAGGGGCTGGGTGAGATTTGCATTCGCTCCCATGGTCTTGACCCCTCAGGGACTCAGGGCTCTGCAGTAGGGGAGCCAGTCTATGCTGGAGGAGCAGTGAAACATGAGCTCTTGGCTCCCCATCTGCTTGTCCTGAGGACACTGCCATTCAGGGCCAGGACCTTCAGGGCACAAAGCCTTCAGAAGGGCCCTGTGCTGTGGAGCAGACAAGGCAGTGAGGCCCCATCTAGCAAACAGCACCCTTTCCTGGGGGCTCCTCCAGGGCCCTTGCCCTGTGCATCCTGTCCTGGAGCGGTGGGTTTAGAGAACTAGACAAGTGCAGAGGGGTGAGCCTGGGCTAGACAATAGTTTGGCAGTGGAACCCTCTGCACTATTAGTGGGAATGAGAATTGGTGCAGCTGCTAAGGAAGACAATATTGAAGTTTTTCCAAAAATTAAAAACAGAGCTGACTTATGACACAGTTATCCTGTGCCTTGGTGTTTCCAAAGTGAACAAAATCAGTCTCTCCAAAAGTTGTCTATAGTCCCATTTTTATTTAAGCATTGTATATAACAGCCAAGACATGGATGAAGTAAGTATATGTGATGGAATATTATTCACCATGAAAAGAAGATAGGCCTGCCATTAGTGACAACATAAATAGACCTTGAGGGCACTATGGCAGAGTAAGTAAGAGAGATGCAGAAAGACAAATATTGTGTTATCTTACTTGTATGTGAAATCTTTTTTAAAAGATTTAATTTATTTATTTTAGAGAGGGAAGGGAGGGAGAGAGAGGGAGAGAGAGAGAGAGGGAGAGAGAGAGGGAGAGAGAGAGAGAGAGAGAGAGAGAGAGAGAGAGAGAGAGAGAGAGAGAGAGAGAGAGAGAGGGAGAGAGAGACATCAATGTGCGGTTGCTGGGGGTCATGGCCTGCAACACAGGCATGCACCCTGACTGGGAATTGAACCTGCGGCACTTTGGTTTACAGCCCACACTCAATACACTGAGCTATGCCAGCCAGAGTTTGGAATCTTTAAAGTTATTAAGGAGATCCTATTTGTGGTTTTCTGAGGTGGTGGATGGGCAATGGGAGAATCGGATGATGATGATCTTAAGGGACAAATTTCCACTTGTAAATGAGCAAGTCTGGGGATATAACGGGCAATGTGAAAAAAAGGGAAATCTCGTCAGATGATTCAACATGGATGGGCCTTGAGGACTTTATGATGAAATAAATAAGACAGTTGCAAAAGATACCCCTGCATGATTGCACTTATGCACAGTGTCTGTCTAGAGTAGTCAAGTGTATGGAAACAGGAAATAGCATGGTGGTTCCAGAGCTGGAGGAGGGGAAGGTGACATGTGTATAAAGTGTCAGGTTTTGCAAAATGGAAGTGTTCTGTAATATATTCTGTCTATGTGAGTGTACTTGACAATATTGAAGTGTATAGTTCAGATAGCTAAGATGGTACTTTTGTATTTTTTACCAGAATTAACAATTTTAAAATATATAAAACTAGATACTGCCATTATTATGTTTTTCCCACAGGATCTAATTTGTGAGACCTGACCACACTATGAAACAGGTCAGTCCCATCTCAGACACCACCACCATGCTGCATTTACACTACTGTGTGGTCAAGTTTCTGTGTCTGTCCTCATTTGCCTTTGCTCCTTTGCTAGTAAAAGCAGAGATTGCAGCAGAGAGGGAGAAATGCATAGAGACACTGGGCATAATGTACATAGTGTACTGATGGTGTACCTCCCTGACAGTATAAAGATTATTAGGAAACAAAAAGTTATAGATAGAAATGGAAGTTTAGTGTGGCCAAATGCGGTTATGAAATAAAGCAATTATACCTTTGAGTCTTGGCACAGGAGTCAGTGGTGATGTTTGCTCTTCTGTTACCCGGTGATTAAATGTGAGTTGGGATAAGCTTTTTGAATAAGCCCCTGAAAGCATTTGGGCATTATGTGTAAATTTGCTCATACTCAGATTTTTGCAGTTATAGATTTACTTATTAATTCTCAGTATTTCAGCACTTCCAAAATCATAATTTTATTTGTGATGATTGCTACTGTAGGGGGTAAGTTGAAAACAGACACTAGTTAAAGTCATCAGTTACGTACATACTGTAACAATTGTCCAAGGGAAACTTCTACCCTGGGCATTTCTTTGGCCTGGCCATTCAAATGCTGAGAACACCTTGACACATTTTATAGAAAACAATGTGCAATGACATGAACAGTTTTGCATCACAGCTCAAGTGTGAATGCATGTTTTTTTTTTCAAAAACAAGTATGTGTCAGTGTGCGTGGCTGTGTGTGACCATGGGTTGCTGTGTGTGTGAATGTGTGTGACTCTGTGTGCAGCTCTGTGTGACTGTGGATTTGGTTTTGTATTACCTTGTGTGATAATGTTGTGTGAGGCTGTGTGTGGCTGTGCATGTCACTGTGTGTACCTGTGTGTGACTGACTGTGTGTGCCTGACTATGGTGTGACTTCAATGACTATGCATGTGCCTCTGTGTGTTCTGCTCAAGTACTAAGAGAACAGGATGGACACTATTCACCCTATGCTAGCAGATACGTTCACTCTGTGCACATTTTGTTATGTACTGAAGAGGTCAACATAAACTTTACTTAAGATTATAACACAGACATCTGTGTCTCTCTAGAAGAGGTTCTGAATAAACATGTCCCCTAGTGAACATCATGATCATGGATGGGGCCTGTTGACATCAGTGCCATGAGTCAAGGTCCCTTGGCCTGCTCCTAGGATCCAGCACACTCCCAGTGCAAATCCTACCTGCAGAGAAGCTTGAAGTCCTTGCATCAGGAAGACATCTCGAAGGAGTTTGAGGAGGCACACCCCAGTCCTCAGAGTCCCATGTCCCCACGGTGGTGTTAGGGCTGTTTCCTGCAGGAGAGAGGGGCTCCTCTTAAGGGTGGAAGTGGGGGAACCCATGTTTGGAGCACTGAGCTGACAGACCTTTCCAGTGTCCATATGGCCCCTGAGATGACTGGTGAGGTCCACTACCCCTTTACCTGATCAGGCCTGTCAACAGATGGTGGGCCCCTGGGATCTGGGATGAGGACAGGAAGGTGCACAGAGAGTCAGACATTGTGTGTAACCATGTCCACCTGAAAGATGGGCACAGAGCAGGGCACACAGAAAAGTCATCACCAAGATGCCTGTGGAGCTTAGAGTCATGGGAGAAAATATAAACACACACACACACACACACACACACACACACACACACACACACACACCATGAAAGGCATGTATACTAAGATGTGCCATCAGGCACATTTTTCAGCAGGTGTGCATTTTGTTGAAAATTAGGACATGCTGTAAAGAAACCTTAAACTTCCACCCTTCCAAAAAGGCACAGCAATATTAGGACTATAAAAACAGTTAGAAACACACATGAACTTACATATGAAAGCATACATGAATGCACACAGTGTACACACACTAACACATAAAATTGCACACGCATGGGAAGCACAGAGTGACACTCACCCACACACAGACACACATTAACAGGAATCCTGTTCCCAGCCTCCATCTTTACCTGCTCACCAGAAGAGCCTATAGCATCCGTGTGTCCTGAGTGCCCCCTACAGTTCAGCCCCATCCGGAATCCCTCAAAGGGACATTGGTGTCTGACTTGGCAGTGCCTTGCCAGCTCTGTGCGGTACAGGTACAGTAACCCATGGCTGTGTCCACACTGGTCACAAAATTCAGTTTCATGGAGAGCTGGAACTGGAATATGACTCTGGGGTCAACATTCTGCTCTGTTAGGAAAGTTAGGGTGTGCACTAACCCTGAATCCCATGTGCCCCATCCCCACAGCCCCTCTCAGAGGTTCACTAGCCCTTAGCTTGACTCACGCACCTCCAGGGGGATAGGACATTTGGGGCAAAGAGAACACTTTGAATAAGAGATGTCCCACCTCTCTGCCTCCTTACACATATTACCTAAGACACTCAAAGCCAGTTTCTATGAAGGAGGAGATATCCCTGAGCATGTTTTGTCCATGACACACTCTTGACCTAATGCTCACACCCAGCTGACAGAGAGGTAAACACAGACATCCTGGTGGGCTGCTCTCTCCATTGGGGATGGTTCCCATTGACATTGGGTAGGTCCTTGTTCTGTGAGCTGTGGGAGACTCATAAAAGAGATTACTTCATACATGTCCACACAGAGAACACAACACACACAATCACAAACACATGTGCAAACAAGTTAACAAGTGTGCACACACATTAACTTGTGTGCACTCCCGTACAACTCCCATCACCCATGGAAGGAAGCATTTTTTCATGCTCCTGAGGTGCAGCTGAGATCATGGACTTCAACCTGGATCATGGACTGAACCTGGACACTGAGAAACATTCAGATTCATGATGCTGAGACTAGAGAGTGTTCTCTTATATGACAGGACTCTGCAGATGTGATTACATTAGGGATGACTCAGTAAAATGTGCTGACATCAAGAGATTATCCTGAATGCTATGGTTGGGGCATAAATGCAATCACGTGTCCTTTTTAATAGGGAACTAAAGAAAATCAAAGTAAAAATACTGTGAGTGATAAAAGCAGATGTTAGGGTGGGTCTCCACATCCACCCAGTAAATGAGGAGCAAGAGGGTAATATGTGGAAGAGATAAGAGACCTGAGGGCTGGAGGTCCTGGGGGATGATCACGACCCCAGTGGGAAAGGTGTAGCTTTCAGAAGGAAGGAGGCACGTGAGGACATTCTGTGCATGTTGGGCTGGGGACAGAGAGCCTGAGCTCAGCACACAGGGCGCTGGACAACACTTGATTCCTCTTTGTGGAAAACGTTTCCAACAATGGGGATGGCAAGAGCACTCAGGATGGTTCACTGTCAAGAAAGAACAAGGAGGCAGAGCCTGGTGAAGGAAAAGTACCCAGGTGCAGAGGGGATCTCATCTGCAAACAGACAATATCACTTCTTCCTTTGCCT